GCACTGAGCAGTGATGCCGGATGAAAGATAATTGAAAGAAAAAGAATTGACGCTGATTATTTATAGAATTAAATCAAGCATTAATTAGTGAACATTTTAAAAACATTAACCTAGAATCTAATTTTTAACATTAACCGTAAGGGGTGCAGGGGTGACATTTTCACTTGGGCCCATGGGTGTGCAAACAAAATTTTTATTCAAAATCTCACCTTCCCTCCAGGCGAGTACACAGGATTTTAGCCAGGGGGGGGGGGCAAGATTTAACACCATAAAAATACACTAAAAAGAATACATTTTTGGTTTTTACTAACCTTATAGAGTCTAAAATTTATTCCTTTGCTCGAAAAACTAACTTTAACTTTTTAACTTTATAAATCTATAAATGTATCACTTAACTCCATCACAACTAACTAAATCAAGAATCACAGCATCATTAAAAAATCATATTTTCAATAATAAACGAAATTTCTTCTGAAATTTTTAGATAGAATTTACTCCATCTACATATTCACCAACTCTTTTAAGCTTCAATTTTCTTGGATTTGCTTGCACAAGCCATAAGTGCAAGATCGTTAAGTCTGCTCTCCGTCATAGTACATCTTGTGTAATGAAGAATTCTCTTTAGAAGGCTAGAACTTCTCTTTCCTTCATTCGATGTTATTGTCATCATTGCATAAAGGGGACCTCTTAATGGAAATAAAGGAATTGAGTCTTTGCCACAAACTCTGATTTTCTAATCACTATATCTTTGGAACCAAATGTTGTAGACCTTAGAAATTCAAAGAATTCTGTTAGATCAAATATTCTGAATTTGAAATATCAAAGGTTTACAACATCAGGTTCCAAAGGATTAAATATTTGAGTTTGTGCCAAAGACTCAATTCCTTTATTAATTGACAGTAAGAAAAAAATAGAAAAATAGAAAATAGAATACCTTTATTACATCTTCCATCATATTACATCATGTTATAAGCATCTAATATGTCGAGGTCTCGTTTTTGCAAAAGTTTTAGTGTTACTTTTTAAATTTGTTTCCTTTTTATTTTGTCCCAGGGGGGGCAAGAGGACTACTGCCCCCCCCCCCCTATGTACGCCACTGCTTCCCTGTAAAAGTTTGTAATATATTCTATACGCCTGCTACAGTGAAAAGATAGATGGATAGCTAGCTTTAAAAGAAGGTGACCTCTTTTTTTGTTCCTAACTCCTAGTAGATATTCCATTCAGCTGAACTCAGCCCTCATCAGACTCATCATCATCAGCTATTCTGGCATAGGATGAGGACAGACAAGATGATAGGATATGATAGGACCGGACATAGGATAGATAGGACAGGGCAGGACAGAATAGGACAGGAAAGGACAGGATAGGATATGATAGGACAGGATAGGACAGAATAGGACACGATAGGACACGATTTAAAGGCAGTTTAAATTGCACCCTGCGACCGACGGGTTTCCCGACGCTCTAGCACCCTCGTACGTGAAGCGATCCGACTGACATAGGACAGGATAGGACAGGATAGGATAGGATAGGACAGGATAGGACAGGATAGGACAGGATAGGACTGGATAGGACAGGATAGGGCAGGATAGGACAGGACAGGACAGGAGAGGACAGGATAGGACAGGATAAGACAGGATAGGATAATGTCGTGTTTGTACTTTATTCCATTCAAACGTTCAGGGTTTTAGAAAAAGGAAAAAGTTTATAATCAAATTATACTGAAACAAAATGGTTTACTTTTATAATTATAAAGTGTAAATAATAAATAAACAGATACTAGATACAAATACAATTAGCATATTACAAACTGCAAAGTACATTAGGGGTTCTATCTCTTATAACTCTATCAGCGCGGTGTTTGTACTTTTCAAGGTTAGTTTACCAGTGAGGAAGGAGTTGGGAGTAAGGACACTTTTTGCTCTCTAGGCTCGACAAATAAATAAATTGATAGTCGTAAATACATTCGATAACTCTTTTACTATCTACTCTCTGCAAATTCAGTCGTTGTAGGATTTGCAGTGCGAACTGGATGGCTTTTGAGCAAAAACATAGGAAAAAGGAACAAGAAATTGGCGAACTTAGACTGGTCGCTACAAACTGCTGGTTTACTACTAGGATATCAGAACAATATTAGAGCTCTGCTCGATCTGCCTAACGGGATCTGCTGCTTGTGCCTTTCTGCACGCTGATTGGTTAATATCTTTCCTAATTAAATTCCTGCTGAAAACGTAAACGAACTCTATAGGTGTCGCTAGTGTCGCCCTGGGAATCGATAGAGATTGTTATGGTATAACAGAGACATCTAGTGGTTAAGTTTGCAATACATATATTTGAGTATATCACTAAAGTTGTAAGGAGGCTGAGGTCTCCAGTCGGAGAACTGATGCTAAAGTGCTCTTGTTGTTCTACACATACTCAATCCTGACCGATAGCTGATACAGCTGATTTTACAACACAGCTGATCATGCAGCTGATTAAATAATAATACCGCGCGTGTTGTTATCTTGATTTTAAAGTGAGTTTATTGATAAGTTAAATGGCTGAGATAGAAAGACCGGTATCCGCTTCAGCTCTTATTGAAGGATTAGAAATTCAAGATAGAATTCAAGGTGACATATTTTTATTGTGAACTTTTGATTTTACATTTTTGTAAGCATCGACTTGGGATTTGGGAAATGTATCCTGTCAATTACTACAATTGTATGGGAAAATGTGGTATATTCTTTAATCAATTTAAAAAGTATGAAACCTTAAAACTTTCCATATTTAATCTTTTATCTATATATCCGGGAAGTTCATAAGTAACAGTTTATGTTTTGTATTCGGAATTATAAAAAAATGTATACAAACATTAAATTGACCATTTTCTCAAATCTGACCTACATTTTAGGATTTTCTAAAAACTATAAGATCCTCTTTCTCATTTTCTCAATCTCTTCTTTGACCTCTTTTCCTCTACATTTACCCCCCCCCCTACCCCGTTCATCCTTCCTTATATTCATTAGAATCCCCCCCCTCTTGTCCTCATGAATAACTTCCCACCCCCTCTTAACCATAAACCAGATTTCCCCAATGTATTTCCCCCTAATCCCCCCATCCAATTTTCCCCCTCCCTCGTCTATAAATGATTATTGACGCGTATGTATAGTTACAACAAAAACATTTAGAATAACAGTAAAACCCAATATTTTATGCAATTTTATTATGCGGGCCCAATCTATACCAATTTCACCGATGAAACAATCGGACATTAACATCCAGATACATTTCGTTTAAACCTTAATAGTAAGTATATGCAATTTATATTATATTAAAGAGATGTTAATACAGTGATAACCAGAAAACTATGGAATAAGAAGACGACTTTAAGACTGAAGTTATTACCAGTCCAAAAACCAAAGATCGTCCTAAAAGTGGAAGATATTGCATTAGGAATGTATCCGAATAGTGTGTACACTGTATATGACGTCATTGGCTGCAATATTGGTTTGAATTCAAACATTTAAAATTAAAACTCTAGTTATCAAATAAATTAATCATCTGTAGGTGCTAAAAATGGTCAGAAATTAAAGAAACGGTTATAAACTTCTAAATTTGTTCGATCGTTTATAGGATAGGATGCTCTACTGCTAAAATAAAGCTGAAATTGTGAATCTGTTACGCATCTCATTTGTATGATGAAAAATACGACATATTTTAAAACAAAATTTGTTAGATGTCATTAAGTATAGTTTTATTGTATTGTAAAGCAGAATTTTTAGGCCAGTATAGTGAGCAAGGCCCAAAAAATCTTGGTATAAAGTGGCCAAAAATTTGCAAACCAAACATTGCAAACTGTTTTAATAATTAGAGCATCTAGTTTTACGTATGCCTTCTCTTTATACTACCAAGGTCTTTGCCAATAACCATGAGACACATCAGTTGTGTAGTGTAAATGGCTTATTTCACTTAATAAAATATTTATTACTTTATTAGTCAAACTTTGTGTTTCGGAAAATATCAAATACACCTAGTTATATGCTTTAATGCGACGGCTTTCTATTCCAAAGTTTTTTGGTTTTCACTGGATATATAAACTTATATATAGATATGTATATATGTTTGATAGATATATCTATAGATATATAAAGTTGTTCTCTGTTTGTCATGGTGTCTGTCTGCATTGTTTGTCCGATCAAAACTCAGGAACCCCTTTACCGATTTGCCTTCAATTTTGTTTGGGGGACTCGGGAGAGTTCCTAGCTTGGTTTTGAGATTCTAAGTCGGGTGGGTCGACTTAAATAGCGAAAATTTAGTTTCCCTGTAAAATCGTTCAAGTGCGGGTAAACGGCAGGAGTAACTTAGTAACCTTGGCAGTGCTGGATTCCCAAGCTAGTAGATAGATAGATCTATAGATAGATTGATAGATAGATAGATAGTTGTAGTGCAATTTGCATTTTTACATAAAGAGAACACTTTTAACCCAATTGAGTTTTTAATATGATTAATATATAATAATAATTACATGGAAATGAGAGGCTTACCTTTATTTAACATTTTGTGTATTTTTAAGGAATGTTTATAAATTTTATTCCCTTCTTGCACCTCTAAAAGGTCAATTTAAACATGAGTATGGCAGATGTGTATTTGTACATGTAATATATAAATATACAAATAGAGTCCTCATACAAACTGTATATTTGTAATATAAATAGATGATACCGGTGGCCGAATTTAAAGAATTTGAGCGGCGGTTTAAATTTAAACCGCGGCTTAAATATGGTTGGTTCCACTTAAAATTGTATCAAATGTTTAAAGATTTTAGCCGGCGCTTAATTTAAAGCGGGTTTTGGCAGATTTAAACCGCGGCTCAAAGTCTTTAAATTCCATCTCGGGTATAGTAACCAGGTTTAGTTTATCCAGGNAGGTTCAGTTTATCCAGGTATAGTAACCAGGTTTAGTTTATCCAGGTATAGTACACAGGCTTAATTTATCCATGTATTGTATAGTACCCAGGTTTAGTTATTCCAGGTATAGTACTCAGGTTTATTTATCCAGGTATAGTACCCAGGTTTAGTTTATCCTGGTATAGTACCCAGGTTTAGTTTATCCAGGTATAGTACCCAGGTTTAGTTTATCCAGGTATAGTACCCAGTCTTAGTTTATCCAGGTATAGTACACAGGCTTAGTTTATCCAGGTATAGTACCCAGGTTTACTTTATCCAGTATAGTACCCAGGTTTAGTTTATCCAGGTATATTACCGAGGTTTAGTTTATCCAGGTATAGTACCCAGGTATAGTACCCAGGTTTATTTTATCCAGGTATATTACATAGGTTTAGTTTATCCGGGTATAGTACCCAGGTTTAGTTTATCCAGGTTATATTACCCAAGTTTAGTTCCAGGTATAGTACCCTAGGAAGTTTTATTTAAAAAAATTTAGTTTGAGTGTATACCAACGATAAGAGGTAAAAAACAAACAAAAGATCCCCTGAAGGCTAGTCTCATAAACAGGGACAGAATTCTCATGATGGTATTTTTCTATTTTAAACATTTCATCTTTTTTTGTATGAATAATGGTTTGTTAACAAGAAATATGTGTGTCACTACAAATCTATGCATCTAATAATGTTAAATTCTTTATTTAGATACAGCTAAAGAATCGTGCACAGGAAGATAACCACCATGAGCTTGACAATATTAATGATAATTATGGTGATGATGACCTCTTTGGTAGTGTGTTTTCATTTATTTCTTTTTTTAGGGTCATTTTAGAGCAAATTAGACAATTTTTCATAATATTTAAGTACCCAATTTTTCAATTAAAGTAATTATTATAAAAAACAGTTCTACACTTGTGATCTCATGCAAAAAAAATATTGTTTTTAATTCTTTTCAATGTTGTAAAATATGCCCTGAAATGACCCACTGGTGATTGTTGGATTGATCTTAATTAGCAAAACTTATTAGTGGATGTTTGGGTAAATCGATATTGGAACCAAGTTTAAATTTCTTAAATGGAGAGTTGAGAGCCATTTTAAGGATAAAGCAGCTAAAAAAATGAGGACCCCAAATAAATCTTCTAAATTCTTTGATATAGGTATCAAAATATGTATCTCAAATAGAGAGGGGGTGCAGAGCATTCCTGAGCCCTTCTATTGGCAGAATGGCCTCCGAGCCAATCAAAATCGTCTCTGTGCCTCATGATATGTATGCCAGGCTCCAGCAATCCGATATCAAATAACTAAAATTAGGTTTTACATTCACTAAAAAGCCTTTTTTGAAAGATCTCAATATGATCATAAACAAATACAAATGTTTATGTTCAGTTGTAGTCGATTTTAACAATACAATACTTTCGATTTCAATTTTGATCAAGCTGTCAAACATTATGGATACACAAAAGCAAAGAAATCAAGAGAATTTATAAATTAAGAAAAGGTTCTCCTTGACTACTTGTAAACTTGTAATTCGAAAAAAAGCTTTTTAACAATCAGACCTTAAATAAAAAAGTTGTCTTCATATTGTGGGCATACTATCGCCCACCACTGTACCATTAAAAACTTAAAGATCATGTTNTTAGTTTATCCAGGTATAGTACACAGGCTTAGTTTATCCAGGTATAGTACCCAGGTTTAGTTTATCCAGTATAGTACCCAGGTTTAGTTTATCCAGGTATATTACCTAGGTTTAGTTTATCCAGGTATAGTACCCAGGTATAGTTTATCCAGGTATAGTACCCAGGTTTAGTTTATCCAGGTTTATTACCCAGGTTTAGTTTATCCGGGTATAGTACCCAGGTTTAGTTTATCCAGGGTATATTACCCAGGTTTAGTTTATCCAGTTTTATTTAAAAAATTTAGTTTGAGTTTATACCAACGATAAGAGGTAAAAACAAACAAAAGATCCCCTGAAGGCTAGTCTCATAAACAGGGACAGAATTCTCATGTTGGTATTTTTCTATTTTAAACATTTCATTTTTTTTTGTATGAATAGAAGTTTGTCTACAAGGAATATGTGTGTCAATACAAATCTATGCATCTAATAATGTTAAATTCTTTATTTAGATACAGCTAAAGAATCGTGCACAGGAAGATAACCACCATGAGCTTGACAATATTAATGATAATTATGGTGATGACCTCTTTGGTAGTGTGTTTCATTTATTTCTTTTTTTTAGGGTCATTTTAGAGCAAATTAGACAATTTTTCATAATATTTAAGTACCCAATTTTTCAATTAAAATAATTATTATAAAAAAACAGTTCTACACTCGTGATCTCATGCAAAAAATTATTGTTTTTAATTCTTTGCAATGTTGTAAAATATGCCCTGAAATGACCAACTGGTGATCGTTGGATTGATCTTAATTAGCGAAACTTAGTAGTGGATGTTTGGGTAAATCGATATTGGAACCAAGTTTAAATTTCTTAAATGGAGAGTTGAGAGCCATTTTAAGGATAAAGTAGCTAAAAAAAATGAGGACCCCAAATAAATCTTCTAAATTCTTTGCTATAGGTATCAAAATATGCATTCCTGAGCCCTGCTATTGGCAGAATGGCCTCTTAGCCAATCAAAATCGTCTCTGAGCCTCATGATACGTCAGCCAGGCTCCCCGGCTCTGTCTTCACGTCCAGCAATCCGATATCTAATAACAAAAATTAGGTTTTACATTCACTAAAAGCCTTTTTCGAAAGATCTCAATATGATCATAAACAAATACAAATGTTTATGTTCAGTTGTAGTCGATTTTACCAATACAATGACGACGACTTTCGATTTCAATTTTGATTTAAATCAAGCTGTTAAACATTATGGATACACAAAAGCAAAGAAATCAAGAGAATTTATAAATTAAGAAAAGGTTCTCCTTGACTACTTGTAAACTTGTAAACTTGTTAAAAAAAAGCTTTTTAACAATCAAACCTTAAATAAAAAAGTTGTCTTCATATTGTGGGCATACTATCGCACACCACTGTACCATTAAAAACTTAAAGATCATGTTGATATTTTTCGAAGAAAAAAGGCTTTTAGTGAATGTGAAATCTAAATATTTGTTTTTGGACATCAATTTCTTGTTTGTGAAGACAGAGTTGGGGAACCTGGTAGACCTAGCATAAGGCTCGGAACCGATTTTGATTGGCTAGGAGACCATACTGTGAATCATGTGGCTCAGGAGGTCAGTTGCATGGCTCATGGATGCTCTGCATCCTCTCTCAGCCACTTAATACTGTCAACATTTTAATTTTTTATATTCATTTAATTATTCATGAAATCAAGATCAATATTAAGATATTCTGAAATATTTTTTGTTATTTTTATAGACTTTTTAATCGATGTTTTCTTGAAATAGTTCTCAGCTCATGATTGTTTTTATAAAAAAAATGTTGGAAAGTTCTTAGAATATTTATGGGTATATATTCTGCTGACATTTATATTAAGGGTATATATTTTGCTGACATTTAAGCTTCAATGGGAGAAAATTAACCTACCCAAGTGAAATATGTAAGACAAATTTTGAACGAATGAATTTTGTTCGATGAGATTGATTTGTTGATTTGTGCACTTGAATGAGATATGTCGAATATTTAATTCACGGGGAATATCAGAAGAAATGGCAGTGGAGTACAGGGGGGGGGATGAAGGCAAAACAGTTATGATGTGTTGCGGTACCATAAAATGAATGTGTAAATGTTTGATTTGGGGAGTAAGGGATGAGAGATGACATGAAAGTGAGTGGATGTAATAAAAAGAATTGTCTGATTTGGAGATTTTTGTTTTGAACTTTTGATGGTCTGGTCATGGTCGTGTTGTAAGTATATTAAAGAAATAAATGTTAACACACTAAAT